AAAAATATTAAAATAATAATTGCTTTAAAAAAAATAAAAGATACAAATTTTCAGTCTTCAAGGACTTAGGCTATTGAAGTTACCAATTTTCTATGGCCATTTCAGTGCTTATTTTACCTCTGCCCACAGGCAAACCTCAGCTCCTTCAGTCGCGAACATTTTGACTTCTATTCTAGATAGATGGGGATTTTTTCACCAAATGTAAAAATAACAAACTATTTAAGAATTACGAAAAAGCTTTCAGATGTTACTTAATAACTCCAGTTGTCCCAAATTGACGAGCGCCTGATACCACCGCGTGGTGACATAATATACCTAGTATTTTCTTCTCAAAGTCAAAGAGATTAATCCAGACTTGCAATGTTATTTATGGTATACATCTATCTATCATGTGAGCTCATTGCTTCTCACAGCTACTGCAGTATATTATATATTTTGGGGGATTAAGTGTTTTACGGCGCTCGGAACTGCATAAGGTCATTTGAGCGCGCGGAACACACCTGACATTACTGCAGTATAGATGAATGATAACCACGCACACTGATAGAAATACGTTCCTATATATAGCAACAGCTTCACGACAAAACGCGAAAACTGGACATATTGGAAGTTGGGCCGAAACCAGTGTCATCATTTACTTATCTAGAAAGGTGAGGCTCAATCCAGCGTCAAAGTCTTCTCATTTTTCACAAACACCAGTTTGTCGTCTTTATAGAACAACTGAAGTGGGGTTTTTTATTTTTTATTTATTTATATTTATTTTAAAAAATCTATTTTCATTAATTTTTTTCTTTTTACAAAACGCAACAAAAGTTAAATTTTTTGACAAGCCTTAACTTAACCCCCGCGGCCAATCAAGTTGTTTCGGCCGGTCACGTGACCTAACTGGAGGTCAAGAAAAGTTTGTCGGCGGTTCTCTCCCTTCGGTGCTTATTGTTATTTGGATATGTTGCTCTTTTTCAACTTGTCTGCAATTCAAAAGATAAAATCCAACGTAGGTTTCACCATACAAAAAGTAAATTAAATATTAGCTGAATCTCACATGAGGTTGACTTTAACAACAAAGCTGCTACAAATGATTCAGTATAGAATTTGGGAGGGGAAAAAAAAATCTTAGGTCTACTCCAAACCGTACAAAAAAAGAATAATATTATGTCGCATTTTGTGGAGAAACTGTTTCTATATTGTTCTACTGTATGTCATGTTTTGTTCTACTGTATGTCATGTTTTGTTCTACTGTATGTCATGTTTTGTTCTACTGTATGTCATGTTTTGTTCTACTGTATGTCATGTTTTGTTCTACTGTATGTCATGTTTTGTTCTACTGTATGTAATGTTCTGTGGAGAAACAGACTACAGAGGTACACAAAATGTTATGACGTCGGTTGAAAGGTTTGTTGTGATGTTATTGTTTTAAACAAATGTGAAGAAATGAAATAACACTGTGATTAAATATTTGCCAAATTGCCTTGATTAACCAATATGCAGAAACACGTTTGTCTTATTGCCATGGTAATAATGTTATGATGAACTGTATTTTGAGCCCTGTGATGGTGTAGTTATGTCATAGACATGAAGAATTCACGTAACCTAGATCGTCAACTGTCATGTCCGCCACTCTTTAATATCTCACTGTGCTGCTGTCAACAACTATAGAAAGGTCAAAAATTCGTTTCGCGACTTATTTTCAAATATCTCCTCAACTATTGAACTTAGGTTCTCCAATTTTTGCTCAGTGACTTGTAGCAATTTGTCTTAACTGACCAATATTTTTGTAAACACCTGCCAGCTATATTCTAGAAAATTCCTTAATAAATACAAATTAAAAATTCAAGTGCATGGTTTCTACAGATTTTAAAAAGTTTACAGCTGGGGAAACATTGCTTTTAATAGCAAGTCTGTCATGTTTTTCTAATCGGGACATTATGCTAATTGAACGCACGTTTTGAGAGCTATTTGTGCAAAAAATGTGTTTACTATAAAATATAATTTCTGATAACAAGTTTTGCAAGTAAAAATTGCCATTGATGAGCTATGACGTAGGCCATATTATGTGTAATCAAAATGTGTGTGAGAAGCGGGGAGTGCTGTGAGCAATACCATTTTACGTATGGCAGAGATTTCAAGTATTTTATAAATTTATGAAGAAAAGCTTTTTTAAAAATCTAGCCCCAATTGTTGTGGAAAAATTTGATTTAGTTAAGACAAATTGATACAAACTGCTATGCAAAGTATGGATGACATTGATTCACCCGTTAAAAAGGTATTTGAGGAAAAGTTGCACCACGAATTTTTTACCTCACTCTAGTGTGAGCAATGAGTGCGTACATGAAGGGAAATGCACCGACCAGGCCATCATAGTCGAGTGTGTCTGTGTGTGTGAGTGTGTCTGTGTATGTGTGTGTGTCTGTGAGTGTGTCTGTGTGTGTGAGTGTGTCTGTGTGTGTGAGTGTGTCTGTGTGTGTGAGTGCGTGTGCGCAAACGTTTCCCTGCTTGCCCGGACATTCAGTTCCAGTTGATGGAGTCCAACGATGGCGCGCTCAATGGTTGCGCGGAATGACGCCAGAGAGCTCTGTCTAAGGTGTTCTACACAATAAGTCTATGGTTTCTTCCGCCAAAACTGGAGTGACCTTGACCGGCAGACTGGAAGCAACCCGCTGCCTACATGATCTGAAGTGTGCTTGTAGGTAGACACGTAGAAACATCAAGGATTGTATTGTTGCTGCTTCCATTAATCACCAAAATGTAATGAGAGCCTTGAGAGAGACACATGAAAGTGTTTTTGTTTTCTGTTTATGACCATCAATTTGTCTTCCAGCACAGAGGCACGCGCTGTATGTCTGTGTCAATGTCATTTAGCTTATCAAATGTTTGGTGTGTCAATGTCATTTAGCTTATCAAAAGTTGTGTTGTGCCAATGTCATTTAGTTTATCAAATGTTTGGTGTGTCAATGAGGACGTAAAACACCACCACTTGCATGTCGTTTGTTTTGACCAGTCATTGTGGCCGAAATGCAAAATTGATTGATTGAATTTTCCTTTTTGTAGAAAAAAGGGGGCGGGGGTGAGGAGGTGGGGGGGGCAGGGGGGAGGAGACCCTTTGTTATATTGGATTCTATCCTTGGCATTCTTTACTCACGTAGTAAAGTACGCTATGATTCTATCCTCAACAGTTGTCTGTAGGTGCACGCAGAGCAGAAAATTGTTAATGATTTGCATGTTTCAATAATTAATTAATATTGAAAGACATTCTAAGCTTATTGAATGCTATTGCAATATTATGTAATGTGTATACAGTTTGTAAATAAACGATGGAATCTCAATGTTCAGTGAGTCGTTGTCCTTCTCTTGTGGTTCTTCGTGCTTGCTACGACCGGCGTTTATCGTTTATCACAAACAAGCTTCCTACCCGCGTCTGTTGTGTAGATGTTAGTCGATCAGCTGTCGCACACAGGAGAACCCCCAGGGGGCGGTGCCACT